TCTGCTTCTCTCCGCAACTAATTAGAATGTACTCAATAGTGTAAAATAATTTTTATTAAATGCATCGTCACTAGGACCTAATTAGCTGCTAAACCACATGAATGGGTTCGTCATCCAGACGACTTTTCTTTCGCCCCTTATTATATTGCACTCAAATCTTCAACATAATATGAAACAGCCATAAACGGATGCAGGAAGCTATTCGGTGGTTGACTCCTTGGTGTCACTTGAATGCAGGATTGTTAACACCTATAGCTGTCTAAAATCAACTATTCGAAATGAGAGCGGTTTACCTGCAGTCTACCCACTGTTGAAGTAGATAACGTGACACTGGCATTCTTGATCAGTTTTGAAACAAGCAACATTCGTGAATATCCCTCATACGGAATTGGTGTGCTTGTTGCGATTCATATTTATCTGATTTATATGATACACCTAATCTCTGTGGATTCCAAGTTATCACAAATGGTGAAATTTTAATACCCACAACCTTGCTCCGAACACCATTCATGGCCCGCTCGAGTCTCGCTATTTGGTGCCAATTCGTGAATAACATAAACGGAATTTATGGAAATGATAGATAGATATTGTACTCACTAGATGGATAATAGGCTTGAGACGAAAGTGCAGTGCATCGACCCATGTGACCACATGATCGTCACAGTCTTTGGTACAGCTCATGAGTTCAGGACCATTTTGTTGAAAATGTTCAAGTCTGAAACCATGGCCATCTAGAAAATAATGTTGACTCTTCAGCGTCGACGTTTTGAAAGATAGGTGTGTTGATTTACTCTTATGTGTGCTTCACCTTCTCGATCATAACCGCATTGCACCCACCGTAAGCAGCAGAAGTTGTCTTGGGCACCGCCGATCGAACTGTTTTATACCGAGTTAACTGTGATCTTAGTGTGCAAAAAACTTGATACGGATTGTTCTTCGTTAATTGAATTATTATCCTCGTGCAGACCGTTGTTGCCTCCACTAGGCGCACATTTGCACACATATGTTTGCGCACATCATTACACACACGAACAGACACCCGACAAACCAAGTGCGAATGACACATACGAACCAATCACTGAATTTGTGACTACTATACCTTTTGATCGCTGTTCATTTGCTCTCTTTTTGAGTGATCTACTTCACTGATGTGACACGCAATCTGTGCGCATACCTACTCACATGATTTCCGTTTGTCTCTAAGGCAAGTACAGGTCCTCTACATTCCCGACTGTAAAAGGTGTATAACTAGTACATACTACAATCAGTGAATATCCGGATTTAGTTAAACTAACGAAAAAGATGCAAATCCAGCGGATATTGGAGAGTTTATAGCCACAGGAGCTGTGGAGTACTAAATCCACCTCAACTTATATTTCTTTTCCTTCACCCCAGGATTATAAGTGCACTTTAAGTTGACTGATATTTGGTTGTTGAAGAACCACCTCTGCTGGAAAATCACCAGTCAGCGCGTGTCACATTGATGGCTTTGAAAATTCATCATTACCCCTCACGTGAATAAATACTCAACTGTTGGGTCCTATTCTACTGTAGACTTATTTAGGTGCTATTACGTTCATATCCACTGTGAGACGCTCCTAACTGGTTTGCAATCAGTTCTGCACATTTCAATGAGCCATCGTTTATCTTTTGACTTCCGGAAAGATGTAGATGTCATCTGTGGTGTGAGAATGTTACATTGTACAGATCGGATCTCGTAGTTGCAGATGAAATAGGGAACCGTACTGGTAATCAAATGCCGGCATTTCCCGTCAACGAGATTCAGGAAGAAGATCACAGAAGTAGCGGTTCACTTACCAGAAGAAATCAATGGAATTTCCTTGTGTCGATAAAAATATATAAATAGTTCAACGAACGTCAACCAATCGCCTTCCGTGTTTTCCGATTCACAGGAATTCCGTATGAGCTGGATGCTTTTGATTGGTCGACTCAAATTTGCCTGCATTCCGTTGTCCACGAACTGTGTCACCTAGCTCTTTGGCTGACGTTATCTTAGACTGTCGAATTACCGCATGAACACTGATGGTGAATATTGATCAAAGTAAGATACAAAAATACATGCAGTGAGGAGCACTTGAAATGACTGTTCAATCAACAAGTGTGCAAACATATCACTCATTATAAGAGTACAAGTTTGAAGGGGGTATTGGGAACGTTTTTTAATCTATCAAATTTATACTTTCATCGAAATCAGTGTATAACAAGAAGCTGAAGAATAATACGGGTGAGAATTCATCTAATGGAGATAAGTGAACTTCAACTACATTTTGTGAAGGACTGAAACAGCAAAGTTTGGTTTTTCCATGGGGAGTAATACGAAGCTTCAAGTTTTGCAACGGCGGTTTTCCCCCAAGTCTCCCGTCTGTCCAGTGACGTACTAATACTGCGTAACAAGCTGTCAGCTGTCAGACCACTTATGTTGACGATAACAATGTTCCACCGGATAGCGGTTGAATTTCAGTCAGCGAATTAAATCTTTCTCGAGGATAACTTTGGTTTTGATCTGTCACCCGGTCAGCAGTGCGTTCGCAGGATTCTCGCTAGAATGGGAACATTATCCCTGTCACAAGAAGAAAAAAATTGAATTCGATCAGAACAAGCCCTTCATTCGGGGTCTGGGATTTTCTACCCCCATCAAATGCGCCCTAAGTGCAATGACCTAGTCTTAAGATTGGGCTTAGGGAACAATCATTTTGGTCCACTTATCAGCAGGGGGTTTCAGAGCAGTCGTTTTATTCATTTTGTAAAACGCTGTCTGTCTGTCTGTCTGTCTGCCTGCCCGCCCGCCTGCAGTCACAATGCTTGGTGACTGTGTGTAAAAAATGCTTGAATGTTGTTGGTTACGTACGTTTCAAAATGGTCCAACTACCTCATGAGTTTGAAGTTAACTGGTACAGGATAAACGTGGAGGAAATTTTACAGGGCGTAACTGTGCGAGTAGCTAAATATTTAGAGAGAAAAATGATCGAAAACCATGTTAGTTTTCAGCGATAGTGTCTGCGAATTACCTGGAGAAACACTGCAAAATTCATAGGCAGAGTTATGAGGATTATACAATACGACCGGGTCCAGTGCGCATATTTCATAAACCGTTTTGGTTTTTCCAAGTACCTTTGGGGGCTTTTGTGAGAATCAATGCTGCTCCACTTTTCAAAATGTTATTTCATTCGCACAGAAGTTTGGCGTAACATGATGCCCTGACTTGGGCACAACGAAATCTTCCCTTTAAATAATATAACTTACGAGCAAGTCCTCTTTTCCTAGTAAATGTATACCAAGACAAAATGTCTTTTTAGGAATTCAACTTAAAAGTTGTAGTCTTAAGGCTGTTCATTTAAAGTCTGCTGGTGAAGCACACACATGGAATATCTGTAATTCAGATTACACAACAGCTTGCTGGTTCAGAAAAATTAAATTACAAAGCCCTTGGAAATCATCACCAAATAGACACAAGTTGACATTAGCTCATTTTAAACCATCCAAATAATATACCAGTCATTTCCAACTGTAAGAAATCGTTGAGTTATTTGTTGAGTAACATCGTTTTATTAAACGTTCTCTAAAATATCGAGCCCCTCTTGATCGATAAATGTTTTGTGGAAAATCCATTAGCGCTTTGCTTAATCATGGAAAAATTACAAGGTGGCAGTAGTCAAGGTGTTGGGACCACCACCTTCTCCCCCGGCAGGACGTCTGGTCAAATCCGGCCATCGTTGACTAAATCACCTTTTTTCTATATACTATAATTTGGCCCTTTGTTTGATCACTCTTTTCCTAAACCGTCTGACATGATTATATATATATATACATATATATATATATATGTATACTGTATTTTATTGACCATGATTTGAAACGGTTTTGTTGTTATTTTCTGGGTGATACTCGATCATTACATAAAAATCAAAATCTCATACAATTCTCCTAAACAACAGCATAGATAATTTTTATCCTACTGGGTTCAAATGATAACCAAGTGCTATTGTTGGAATGAGTGACCATGGTCATCCGATATCACATGAAACTCTGGTTGCTTGACCATCACTACTGTACTACCTACCTAAGAAGAGTTGATTTGCGCAACCTGATAAGCAGAGTCTATTCACACTTATTCAGTCAACGGGCACTGTGTGTAGAGTACGGTGTGCATGTATATAATTCACTGAATAAAAAAAAAAAAAAAAAAAAAAAAAAAAAAAAAAAAATTTCTGTGAAATTCGCATTCATTCGCATCGGGTGATCTGCAAACATAAACACACAATCTCCTCCAAATTTAATGCCTAGATGTCTTGTCTCCACAGACATCAACTGAACGCAAATGCATACAAATGTTCACTTTGATTGGGATGGTCGAACGTTAACATCTAGTTAAATGTAATGGAACCTCAGAAAATTATTCGGTACCACTTAATCAACCGCAATATGCTATCTTAGGAACACTTGCATGACATCTC